ATCGTGTGCAACCAAAACCAGAGTGCACCTTACTGGCTGACTGTGGTATGTCTACAGCAGTTCTATGCCAACGACGCGACTTTCGTGTGGCGGTACACGGCACCTCCGCCACCGACACATACATGTACTGCACAACAACAGCAGTACTGCTGTGTACACTCCGATATATCAGCCGCTGAAGATGTGCACGACGTACGATCCAACGCATCACTGCAGTTCACCAACAGAACGACCTGTTTCTACGTTGCACACTTGAGTTTTTTTAAAGCTACAAATTAGGCGACGCTTGGAGGACGCCCAGTCAGACTGACCAACAGCTGTTCCACCTGAAAGCCATCGTGCTTTCTGGAACTGGAATACATACATACACAAACAAGTAGAAGCACAAAAGCTGCCGTGTGTACCATGTATCGTACAGCCATCTTCAGCTTGCTCGAAGCACCCGAGTAGCACCAGCTACACTGCTGTACGCTGCTGTCGTGTTTAGGCTGCTACATCGCGTTCGTGCGCACCTTTGTTACGTGCGTGGTGTACTCACATACATACTGTACATCGACTTCAGTCGGTACCGCGTACGATAGGCTGGCGTGCAACACGACCCAAACGCACCGGCACATGCTTGAAATACCACTGCTGTTCACCACCTGATCTACAGTATCTGTGTTGCACGCGTATACGGCGAGCCGAGTAGGTGTATCACACACGGAGAGACAACGGGGAGTACGCTGCTAGCTGTTGTGTACCAGGAGAGCCGCACCTTGCACGGCTGACCAAGTGCTGAATGTTGTCACGAACCATTACACAACAGCTGTTTCTTTGTATCGTACAGACATTCACAACAGAGCACCGGAGGGTACCTTGCTGTGTACTATCAAAGCCACCGTGTACGGCTGAACTGACGGCATGTACACCGGGAGCACTAGACTACTGCTGTAGCACAGCAGTCACTACGCGTATCGAAGATATTGCATGTAGTTCGTGCCTGTGATTCCTGTGCGTGTTGATTGACAGACAGGTGCTCACCTTGAGTTCAATTGGTATCCCCTGGCGCCCGGCAGCATCCTGTTCTCCCCTAGAGAACCACCTCTTCCCCCTCGCCAGCTTCACCAGCTCTAGAAAGAAGGCGTGCGGTACCCGGAAGCGAGTGCGGAAGGCCTTCGCCGCGTCTGTGGCGTGGTCCAACAGGGCTGCGTCTTGGAGCTGTAGCCACCACGCAGAGGTACTCCAATCTTTTCGCTCCTTCACTTGCCTCGAACGCTTCACGGGCGGACCATCCTGCTCGCCGCTGTCCTCCCACTCAAAGGCGTCGTCGAACGCGCGTAGTGCGACCTCCCACTGGGCCATCGTGCGATGCGTGCGGCTTCGCTTCTGGACTTGGTGAAGCGCCGAGAGGGCGACCGAGAGCACGGTGGCAGGCAGCAGGTCATCGAAACCCGAAGCCATCGATGGCACCGTGCAGTCGGGTGGGGCGTGCTGAAGAGGGTATACGCTAGAATATGGCGCTGAGAGAGCCCACCAGGAGAGCGTGCAGCCGAACGGCAGCCACATGGCGCGTGCTGGGTGTTGTGTGCTTGTACCAGCGCTTTCCCGCCGAAGGAGGTTTTGAATTCAAATCGCGCCGCGCCCTACCCCCCCCCCTTTTCTAACAGCGATATTCCAACAGGATCGCTGTTAGAAAATGGGCCAATTTTCTAACAGCTCGGCCGGAATCGCTGTTGGAAACTGCGCTGTTGGATTTTGGGCTGTTGGATTTTGCCATTTTCCCACCCGTAAGACGCCCAAATTATTTTTTTGGCTCAGAAAAGGACCCCCCCCCCAAATCCAATCCGGAAATAATCACGCCGTAAGACTCAGCCTAACCATTATTATTAATCCAATTACTTTTACTTGTAATTGAAAGACGATCAGCAATGGCTATAATGAAACATCTAATAATCTCAAAGAGTCATTCCAAGAGTATTAGTCTAATCTATCCATTATTATTGATCCAAATACTTCTACTTGTAATTAAAATTGATCAGCAATGGCTAATGAAACATCTGCTTGTAAATACTCTAAAGCACAAGACGAATGAAATTCATCGAACCACCTCTTATTGAGCGAACGAGGAGGGGGAGGGGAGGATGAGGGTCATGAGCAGGACCTTTTTTTATTATGTGAAGGGCAAAACGATTTTCAGAACAATTTATCATGCGATCGACTGCTGCTGTGCTGTTTTTCGTGTGGGCCGTCTTTGGTGCGCACAAAAAAACATGCACCGAACCTTAACAAAAAGGGAGACGAAATCATCACATGTCGATCAGATTGAGGAGAGAGTCGCCTGCTGCACTACTGCTGTATTCCTATTGATGTAGATACCATCCCGCAAATTGCTCGCGCGCCTCCGACCCTCCGGAGGTCCATGTGTTGACAACGATAATTGCAAATTGCGGAGCCCCCTCGCGGCAACGGCAGTTGTGGTTCCCGGGGCGCCTGCTTGCGCACTCTACAACATCCTCGTTCTCTCCCATCTCCTTTCCTCGTCTTCGACTCTCGAAGAACGTGTCATGCCCCGATCCACAGATGGAAAGCACACCTTTTGCGTGTACGGATCCAGCTCAGGTGAGCAGCCGTGTGCCCCAAGTGGCAGTGCGTTGTAGGCACGTCTGTTTCTCAGTTGCTCCTTTTTAACTATTCCGCTGAAGGTCTGCTGCAGCCGTGCCTGCTGTTCATGTAGCTGACCAGCTCGTCGCGCGCGCACAGGAAACAGCCAGCACGGTCAGGTTGCTCCTAGTATGGCGAGTACCTAGGGTGGCCTGCCTGCAGCTGCTAGCGCCCTCGTTCGCAGCTCTCATAACGACCACACACCCCGTGCGGGTGACGTGTCTCATTTTTTTTTTGAACCGGTCTGTTCGCGCGCTTCTCTCTCTCTCGCTCTCTCTCTGCTGCCCCGTCATGCACCAGTGAACACTCCCAAACCTTACTTGGACGTGGCGCGCAAGCTGGGCAATCTGCTGGCGGATGGTGGCCACACTTGCGTCAACGGGGCGGGACGGGTGCGTTTTTTGGGTCGTTTTCAACGACGAGCAAGCGGGGAGGCGTAGGTAGGCATAGTCTAGTCTACATACGACCATTTGCACATGTACCCTGTTTTGTTTTTTTTTCTCAATATAACACAACAAATCCATCTCTATCTATAGAAATGTTTTGTTTCCTCGCGACGTCGTACATGTGCCAGCAAGAATTCGACTGGGTACGTGCAGTCTCTCTGTGCTGTGTATTTGTTTTTTCTACGAACGAGCGGTATTCGGTTACCGGCATGCGTGGCTCAATGTCCGCTGCTGTGGAGACCTACGATACCCCCTTCAAGCCCCTTAAATACTCGGTTGTATCTATATAGACGAGTCTCCATAAGTTACAACTACTCGTAGCTTTTGTACAGCAGTCGTGTGATACGCACAGCAGTAGCATCGATGATTTTTTCGCTGCTATTCTGCTGTTCTGCAGGGACAAGAGAGTAATGAAAGACGCGAAGAATACGTGCGCAGTATCGTTTGCATATCACACAGCTACACGGCTATATTTTGTTCACATGTGACGCAACACACTCATCAGTCGATGGCCGTACACTGCAACAGCAATACACAGCTGGGCGCGATCTACTGCTGTTCATACGGAACCCGAACACTTGAAAAGTGGAACATACCGATTTGGGGAGATTGTAGTGTCCACCTACCTTGTGCAAAACCCTTACTTTTCTATGTTATTGCGTTTGAACTTCAACCCTCCGTTTGTTACAGTGTGGCGGGCATGTTCCGCAAAATACAATTACAAAACTCACAAATAATTATCGTGGCGCCTCGAGGACGTGTGTACTACGAATACGTTGTACCATGTAACAAGGAGTATTGCAGTACGTCTCCATCTGCCCAATCGAGGGCCCGTCACCAATACCATCAGCCTTCAACGCATTGAGGCCTTGCAAGAAGGCCTCGAGCTTTTCCTGCTTTGCTCTGCGATGCACGGACACAAATATGTGGGTTTATTACTAGCATCGACCGCCCTAACCGGCTGACCAATGAAAAGACGCTAGTCCTTGTGCGGTTGAAAACACAAAACACTTCTATCTGCCATGAACTGGGACCCCGGGAGGGTGCAGCATGGGGTGCGTGTGTGATGTGTGATGTACACCAAGGGTACTGCTAACCCTGTGATTGTTTGTGTTGGTTCGGTGTGATGGGTGAACAAGTGGTGATATCTCTTATCCTCATCAGGCGACTGCCATAAGTCAAAAAGAGGACGTTTCGAGAAGGATTGATTCAAAGCACGCGACAATCTAACGCCGCTGCTGTTTGCAACACACCTGTTTCATGGTTGAATCATTCGCAGTAGCAGCTGTGTTCTGAATCAGTCACATCTCGACACATGATGGTAATTTACCACTCCCCCCGCCGTTGCCTTTCGGCATTCCCCCCCCCCCCGTGTTTTGCCATCGGGGTTGGGTTTTCGTCGCTTGGCAAC